GCTACTCGTGATAAGCACAAGAATGACGACTGTACGTTATTATTCACTCATTGATGGGATGAGGATTTTAACTTCATAATCCGATGAAAACCTATTGACGTCGTTCACTTCATAGCCGAATGAAGACTCACAAAGTAATCTTATGAACCTCATACATTATTCACACGAATGCAACAGCAAGACGTCGAGCAAGAAACATGCACACTATTCAGTTCAGGGGTCCTTCGGCCAAACGGAAGGAAGCGTGAGTGTTTTTCAATGTAAGGTATACTCTGACTTGCCGGTGGAATAGGAACCGGACTGACGCTCCCCAGAATAGAAAGAGCCAGGACCATAAAGCCCTGTTTAAAAAAAAAAAAAAAAAAAAAATACAAAGGATGCATAAAAACCCACTAAAGTGTATGTCCAAATTTTCTTGAGAAGAGTCTAGATATTTCCACCCACCTACCTCCTCTTACACAGTGGCATTCCTCTCATAAAGATCATACCAATAACTCACACCGCCTTCCAAGTCATATCTTTCTTTGCCTCCAAGATGTTAGTTTCCCGTTAATCCAAAAACGAAGGTACTCTGTCTCTGTCTCTCTCTCTCTCTCTCTCTCTCTCTCTCTCTCTCTCTCTCTCTTTGTGTGTTTGTGTGTGTGTTATACACACATTAAGATACATCCCCAAATTGTCGGTCGAAAGCCAAATTGGAACCCCTTAAGTTTATTTATATTGATTCATTAGTAATCTAAGTGGTTTATATAATTGGACCTAACCGTGATTGAAGTATTAAGTTTGAAAAATACATACTTTGAAGATATTAAGTCAATTTAAGAAAAACATACCCAAACTTTTTGAAAAAACATGCAATTGAATGTACTGGAGACTTTCTACCACTTGTAACAAATTCATGCATGCCCAAGAGGGTATCAAGGAAGTGGCCACAACGGGATAGATACAAGGGAATCATAAAATTAAGAAAGGAGTCCTCGAGGACAAATTATTAGTTATCGGATGAAAGTTTCAAGTGTTTTAAATAGCACCTTTTAATTCACTCTCTTGGATCATGAAGTATGTCTCATTGTGATTCTCAGTGTGGTCACAAAAGAAGTGAGTCATTTAAAGCTATAAGTTTTATAACCTTGATTGTTGTGTTCAATAGTTATTGCACCCTTATACTGTTGTGCCTCTTTTATCTTAATTGTCACGCTTCCTATGACTGTGATATACAATTTTGTCCGCACCGTTGTACCTTGTGTTACAATGTCTGATTACTTACTGGTTATTAAATATGCTTAATTAAGATAACTTGCTACAACAAAAGGAGTCTAACATGTTTATGTTTAGTAAGTCATTCGCGATGAGGTCTGTCTTTATGTGAAGTGTGCTTTCATGTGTGCTATGAGACTATAAGGGTTTTTCTCATGTCTTCCTCCATCTGGTCTGCATAAACTCTGTGGAAGCCACAGTGGTCTCCAAGGAGTTTACGTGGCTGGTAGCGGAAGCGCACTTTGAGGATTGTTTGTCGCTACTCTCTAGGCAATATATTTTACTACCCTTATTTTTACATCTACCATTTGCATGGTAAAATATATGGAAGTTATTAATGTAGTACCCCATACACACATATTTTTACTTTCATGTTCTAAATGTGATTCTTTGTTACGTTTATGTCCCCACTTCTACCGCATTTACCTAGACACGTACAATTTTTTGCTCATTCTCGTCCTTAGTATTATTGTATCGATTATTGTGGAATAATATATTTACTTTGGATGCCCTATCCTCTCCGTGAAACACGGATCCTCGGGCTCCAAATGACCTCGCGAGGTCCCTTGGAGGTGAGGACGATTTGGCTGGAAAATCCTCGCAGCCCAAGGATTTGTCCTCGGAGTGTTTTCACATTTTCATGTCCGATTTAATCTCCAAGGACACGTGGAACGAAGACGGAATCCTTGGAATCGCCTCTCCGAGGAGTGTCTAACGACGCCCTAGCTCTTAAAATAAACATAAAGTTTCAGCGATGGCGTAAGCTTGTAGCCTCTGCTTGGCGAACGATGTGACCGGTTTTGCTTGTCCGTCAAACCAGGACTCCTCAGTGGTCCTGAAGTCAGTACTTGGAAGATACGAATTCGTGCTTAAATCCTGTAGCGAGGCTAGCCTTAAGGAAAGTCCTGGAATCGTCACAACAACACTCCGACCGTATCAGATCTCCAATTCCATCCAGATACATGCTGGCTGAGATTAAGTAAACTTGAATAGTGTGTCCTTGCAACTACCGACAAAAACGTAACCTGTTCCCAAAAGATGCCATGTTCGAGTCTCAACGTAGTAAATTGAAAAACAGCAACAATCGTCAACAAAGTATCCTAGACATTACGGATAAAATATGAGGAACACGACGGGTACCAGGTTCAAAACTCTTCTCACTACCACTAACTTGTCAAAAGATCATGCCCGCTAATCCTCAAGTCTCCTGAAGTAAACAAACCCCCAATTTCTCTAAAAAAATAACAAAACCGACCCCCCTATCGTGCAGGGTGACCAAGATCCCTGGTCCAAACTCCCACAAAATGATGCCAACTGGTCAACAAGGGTACCCGATGTCCCCATACCCAACCAAATTTCCTCAAAATGTTAATTACAACGCTGTCAAAAAGACTCATCTGGATATCCCCTCTTCCGTAGTTCACATTTCAAAGGAAACTTCACATTTCAAAGGAAACAGAAAAGGACGTTCACGACAGTGGTGCACGAGCAAAGGCTGTACCAGTCCCTCATCACAGTGAGGAGGGGTGGTGTTGCATACTGTAACGGTGCAGACCAGAACAAGAACCGACCTCTCAATACAAAGTACAAGATAGCGTAGCGGAAGACTTAAATACCAATGATCCGAACAATCAATATTGCAATGCAGCCCTGAACATACATCATCATCATCGTTCCATGGTGTGAAAGGGGTCTGGCGCTTCACACAGGAAGATTGCGCCAGCCCCGACCATACACAGACGAAGAARAAGGGGGTTRGACRAAGAGCAGGGGAARATGGGAATGTCGTCAACACCAAGTCTTCGGCACAGGCCYAAATAGTCCCTCGTCAAAATGTCTGAATCCCAAATGTCGAGTCTGGATCCAATGTTGTCAAGTCTCAAGTCACAACTCTCTCTCTCTCTGTAGTAGTCTGCTGATACTGAGAAGTCAGGTGGTGAGAGGGTGAAGAAGAGATGGTGGACTTAGAAGAGGAAGAAGAAGAACTCTCTCTCTCTCTCTGTGTCCAGTACTAACCTGTGAAGTTGGCGCTTTGATGCAGGTACCTCGAAGATGGAGCTGGAGCTATGGCGCCACAGGTAAGTACCGCTGGCCTCCGCCAGCCATCTCTCTCCAATGCTATCACTACCAGCTACAAGCGCCCTCCGCTGATGACTACTCCTACAGCTATGAGCGCCCAATGCTGAAGACTACTGCTAGCGCTAACTACTACTGCCAGCGCTCCTCCTGAGTGCTGCGGCTGAATCCTGAAGACTACTCGTGCCTACTGTCCAACTACCGGTCCAACTACCTACCCGTGAAGTGCATGGGAACTTCCTATGTACTACTCGGGTGCCTCCTGACTGCAGGCGAGGCAGTCCATGAGGCTGCTCTTGCCAATGCCGAAGGGTGCAGCTCCTGCTTGAGCTGTCGTGGGGAACAGGCCAAAAATAGCCTGTTCCCGAAACCCTGTTTTTGTGCCTGAGTCTTAGGGTAGGTCAAACACAATGAGGGCCTGAAAATGGCCCTCCGTTTCAGGCTGAAAAGCCTCTGGGCCTGAAAGGCCCAGAAATAGGCTGAAAACGGAATAGGGCATGCATGCCCTCGTTTTTTAGTTTCAGGCTGAAACGACCGGGGCCTGTATGCCCTATTTTCTAGGCTTTTAGGTTGAAAGTGCGGGACGGGCCCTGCACGGCCCGTGTGGCTACGCAGTATGCCACACCCCCCTCTCCTTGAAAGACCGAGCTTACCTGCGAGGGCGAAGCTGTCTGTCTGAGGGAGGGACCACAGTCCGGGTGGGAGTAGCCGGTCGTGAAACTTCCTTAGCTAACCTTTGCTTCTCATAATGCGCGTAGATCAGCGGTGCGGATGCTTTCAAATCTGCTCCTGAAATCCACCGAGTGTCGTCGCGATTGCAGGCTTTGAATGTAACTTTGTACTGTCGCGGCTTGCTGCCGTACTTGCTATCGGTGATGACGCGGTCAACTTCCTGATGACCATCCATAGAAGGAGGGTCTTGTGATCGTCAGCCTGGAAAGTCGTCGCTCTTAGCTGGTGTGTATGTTGCCAGCTTTGAGGCGTGAAAGACTGGATGGACCGTCAGATGCGGGGGAATGTTGATCACAAATGAAGGGCCATCGGGCTCATCGCCCACGAATGATGTTACGGGCCATGGTCCAAACCACTTGGGAAGCAGTTTGCGTGAGACATCCTGTTCCAGTGCAAACTCTTCCGCGGAAACCCAAACCAGGTCGCCGGTGCGGATGGGACATGGCACGCGATGCCTGTTGGCTTGTTGCTGCATGTGGACTTGAGCCTTTTGCATATTCGCGCGGGCTTGAGCCAGCAATTCCCTGTACTTCCGGACGGAAGCGGGAGAGCAAGCGACATCGATGTCGGCTGGTCGTGGGAGGAGAAGGTCGGCGAAGATACGGCCTTTCCGCCCACCGTGGTGCAACTCGAATGGTGTCACGCCGATCGCCGGGTGCACCGAAGTGTTGTAGGCGAACTCGATGTCGGGGAGGCGGTCAACCCAATCTTTTTGGTCCGGACGGATGAGCGTACGAAGCATCATTTGAGCGGTCTTATGTGCCCGCTCCGTCTGTCCGTCTGTCTGTGGATGCCAAGTCGAACTTGGCTTCATCTTCGTGCCGGACTCCTGCATGAGTGCAGTCCAAAATGCCGACATGAAGCGAGTGTCGAGGTCGCTGACTATGTCTTTCGGTACACCATGGCCGCAAATCCAGCCGGTGTGCAGGAGGCGTGCCAGCTTGGGAGCCGTGGGGTAGTACTTGCAAGGGAGAAAACGCACCTACTTACTCAATCGGTCCACGACCGTGAGGATGCCGCCGTGTCTGAGGCGGTCGCGGAGGACTCATAGCCCCTGATGAAGTGTCGCTGGAGCTCCTCGTCGAATGCGAACGCATGATGTGTCATAGCGCAAACATCAGGTCTTCGCGAGAGTGCATTTGCTGTGCGATTGGAGCGGCCGGGAAAATGTTTCGGTGTGAAGTCAAATTGGTCGATGAAGTACATCCATCGTCCGATCGTGCTGCTCACCGTATCCTGCATCTTGTAGTAAGTCAGTGGGTTGTTGTCTGTAACCCATGTGAACCTACGACACCCAAGGAGGAAGTGTCGCCATCGCTTGAGAACTATCACGAACGCGAGCAACTCCTTCTTCCTTGCATCATCAAGCGAGTTGATGGGAGGCACTTTGTGGCTGAAATACTCCACAGGGTGCCAGTCGTCGCCGTCGTGCTGTTCCAAGACTGCCCCAATGCCATAGCCGGACGCGTTTGTAGTCACTCTCGTCGGCAGGGTGGGGTCATAGATGCTAAGGACGGGTGCCATGAGCATGGCCGTCTTGAGTGCTTGGAATGACCGGTGTGCGTCGTCATCGAATACGAATGGCACCTTCGGCGATTGTAATCTCGTCTTAGGTGCAGCAATCCTTGAGTATCCGGTGATGAATCGCTGATAGAAGCCCGCCAATCCCATGAACAAACGAACGTCTGTGGTGTTGGTGGGCTCGGGCCTTACTCGTAGGGCCTCGATCTTGTCCGCAAGCGGACAGATGCCTTGCCTTGTGGCGTCCCAAGTACTCCAGCTCCTGTCGCGCGAATTCGCATTTGTCGCAGTTGGCTTTGTACTTGGCTTGTCGTAGCCGCTCCAAAACGGTGTGCAGGTGTTCCACATGCTCGTCCAAACTCCGGCTGTACACCAGGATGTCGTCGAGGTAGATAAGTACGTATCGATCCAACATGTGTCGGAACTCCGTTGTCATAGCCGCTTGGAAAGTGGCCGGGGCATTCGTAAGGCCAAATGGCATAACCAGCCATTCGAAATGCCCACATCGCGTCTTAAACGCGGTCTTGTAGCGGTCCTCCTACCGAATCTCGAGTTGGTGATATCCCGACTTGAGATCAAGCTTGGAGAAGAACTTGGCGCCGCCCAGTCGTTCGAGAAGGTCGTCGATGCGTGGGAGAGGGCCGGCGTTTCTGATCGTCTGCGCGTTGAGCTTGCAATAATCGATGCACAACCGCAAATCCTTGTTCTTCTTCCGGACGAAGAGAACAGGAACACCGTATGGCGATGAGCTAGGCCGTATCCAGCCTTTCTCTAGAAGGTCGTCGAGTTGTGCCCGTAGCACACTTAACTCTTCCTCGCTCATTCGGTAGATGCAACCGCGAGGAGATACGGCCCTGTCCTCGAGGATGATCTCGTGGCGGATGCGCTGATCCGGTACTACTCTGTGCGGGCCTTCGAACACGTCGCCGTAGGCGTCGAGAAGCTCGGTGATGCGTGGATCCGAAGATGAGTCCGTCGGTGAAGTGTCATGAGGCGGGAGGGCGTGGAGAAAACACACCCCCATCTCCTCGATATCGTCTCTGATGATGGAAGCTCGCATGCTTGCGGCGGATACCACGTGGCAGCTGATAGAAGGGTGAGGAGGACGCACCGTGCATGGGGCTAGTACTCCGTTCCGATCACGGACGTGAACGGTGCGGCGGTAGAAGTTCACCGGGTGGTCCTCGCTTTGCAGCCATGACATGCCCAAGATCATGTCGAATTTGGTGTCCAAAATGTCAAAGGACACGGCCTCACTTGCGTGAGGGGCAAAGTGGACGTCATCAATGCACCGGTCGATTGACTTGTGCGTGTGACCGTCCGCCAACGTGACTTGCGTGGGCTGGGACTTCCTTCGGACTCATGGGCCAAGGCCGGCGCGTACCATGAAGTCCTGACTCATGTAGTTGCAAGTCGCTCCGCAATCGATCACAGCGTTGCAGGTCGCCTGTCCGATCTGAATGCGTACATACAACAATGGTGCGTCGATGTCGTCTTGAACTCGCGGTCGATCTTCGCAATGTAAGCGTAAAGGTCGACAACCTCTACTCCGGCGTCCATCAACGGAGCTGGTACTGTAGTGTGCAAGTAATCCCGCACTTGTGCCATCAGCACATTGCAATGCGATTTCGGCAATCGACCGGTCGGGGGAACGGGCATCCACTGGAAGTTCGTGAATGTCAGTGGGTCGAGCACCTCAAGTCTTGACCATGACGATGAATCCCCGGCGATAGATAGCGGCGAAGCTGCCGAATCGGTTGCCAATGGTGGTGAAACCGTTCATGCGATGGATTGTTGGACGTGGATCGGTTGGTCCAACGGTGGGACCAAGTGGACAGCATAGTCCTCGTAAGTGTACCGAGAACTTACGACATTCGCATCCTCCCCAGATGTGTAGGAGGCCGCTAGCAAGGCRRCCGAATCTGGCGGAGTGGGAGGTGGAGTCGCCTCACCTCCCGCGGAACTCRGTTTCCCGAGTTAAGACGAGGCCGCACATCCTCCTTGGCCTGATCCTGGCAAAGGGAGGTCTTGTGCYTGGTGCTGTTGCACCAGTAACARCAGCCGTAAYGGCCGCGGTACTTGTACTCGGCCTCGGTCAAGTTGAACTTGACCCATGGTGCTGGCTGTCCGTTTCCAGCCTGCGATGCTGATTTCGCCTTCCCATTTCCTCGGGACTTGTTGTTGCTTCGCGGCTGGACAGCAGCCACCTGATCTCCCTCACGTGATGCTTGGGCGGCTACCGGATCTTCTCCACTGTCCGATAGGACTGCAACGACATGCTGCGACCGCGGACCAGTCTTTACCTTGTCCACATAGGCCGGCTGCCATGTTGACTTCTCGTGTGCAGCCGGCCTGTTGGTCTTGATGATCTCTCTCGCCTTGTTGATGATCTCTGCGAAAGTGTTGTACTGCTCGCGATCACCAAGTGCGAGGCTGAGAGCGGTGCATGACCTGTTGTAGAACTCACGGCGCAGATGTATGAACGGTAAGTCCAGATCGGGCGTGGCCACGATCTTCTGCCAATCCGTGAGCCAGTCACGTGTCGGTGTGCTCCCTTGAGCCATCGCGAAGATGCGGTTGATGGCGAGCGCAGGTGCGTCGTCCACTATGAACCGCTTCTTCCACTCCTTCGTCATGACCTCCCAAGAGACCGTCTTGTACAGGTCCGAAACCTGGACGCCGTGGATGTTTGCCATGTGGCTGAGCCAGATTTGGCATCCTCCCTTGGTGTTGAGGAACAACGCACTGATGAACAGATGGTTGGGGACCTCGTGAATCCCCAACTCCGTCGTAAATCCTTGCCACCAGACGACCGGGTCCTGATGAGTGTAGTCGTCAAACTTCTCGATCCGGAACGTCGGCATCTTGTACGGCTTCGCCGAGCTGTTGTTGGTGCTGTGCTGAGATGGCTGCGGTTGCTGCCCGAACTTGGCATCCAGATCGTCGAGCTGCTGGCTGATGGTGGCTGCCGCTGTGAAGGTACTGATGTCACCAAGCATTGCCACTACGTGGTCAACTCGTTCCTCCAGTTGGCGGTTCGAGGGTGCGCTGGTGGATTCGCCAACCTGCGGTCCTGGTGCAGCTTGCTCCAGGTCATGCATACGGGAATCAAGTGCCCGAGTCGCATCCTCGTGCTGGACCTTGTAGGTCCTCATGGCCCGCTGGAGATTTGCCAGCTCAGACTGCAGATGGTTAATAGAGTAAACCATATTGGTCATGAGCTTGGCCGTAAACTCCTTGTGCTGCTCCTCCGGTGTCGCGTCGTCGCCGTTGGACGGTTGAAAGTGCCAGTACTAGAGTCTTTCGATGTTGCCGGCTTCGTGCCGCTGCAGCAGATACTGGGCTTCCTTGCGGCGTGCCTGGGTATCTGCTTCAGCTTCAGCTTGGAGCCGCTGCTTCTTAGCTGTTGCCGCTGCTTCAGCCTGTAGGCGGGCAGCCTCGGCTGCCAGCTGGCGCTGTTCCTCAGCCTCGAACAGTGCGAGCTGAGTCTGGAACCTCTGTTTGTAGTCGGCAATAGACTCGTTGGCCAGTTGGCCTGGCATGCCCAGATCTGTGCCCGTCATGGTGGCGGGGCACTGCTCACGTGGCACTGTTGCCTACGTGGCACTGTGACGTGGCACTGTTGCTTACGTGGCACTGCTGATGTGGCACTGCTGATGTGGCACTGCTGATGTGGCACTGCTGATGTGGCACTGCTGATGTGGCACTGTTGCTTACGTGGCACTGCTGACGTGGCACTGCTGACGTGGCACTGCTGACATGGCACTGCTGACGTGGCACTGCTGACGTGGCACTGCTGACATGGCACTGCTGACGTGGCACTGCTGACGTGGCACTGTACCAACTCGGAAATGCATGCAAAGGGTGGGTGGGGAGGGAAAACGCAGGTAGGGAACCAACCCAACAATACTTTCCTCCCGGCCCTAATCAACAGAATAAAAAATATATATAAAAAAAAAAGAGGTTTTCTTTTTTCTTTTTTGTATATCTGTCGATCTGTTATGAGTGAGACATGTCAGAAGAGTACTATGAACGAGCTCTAGGCTAGGTTCCGCAAAGTTTCGGCTTTCACAAAATGCGATCTTGAAAAAAAAATAGAGATGCGATTTTCAGAAAAGAACTAAATCCCGTTTCTGAGAATATGGCAACCTCCGAATATGCCTATCGAAATGTTGGTAGGCTTCGCAAGATTTCGTTTTTCAAAAAAAAATTGCGAGATAGAATGGATATTCGATTTTCAGAAAAGAATAATTCCAGTTTCCGAGAATATGACCACTTCTATCGTTATCCCAATATGCCTAGAAAAACGAAATGCTACTATCAGGAATTTTCAGCTGTGCATGCGAAATATCAGAGAAACGAAATGCTACTATCAGGAATTTTCAGACAAAACGAAATGCGATTTATCAGAAATTTTCAGATATTTGTTACGTGAAAACGAAATACCAATATCAGAAATTTTCAGGTAAAACGAAATGCGAATATCAGAAATTTTCAGATAGTTGTTGCGAGAATTTTTTTTTCAGAGATTTGACGAAGTCCTACTTGATTTACTAACGA